CCAGTTCAGCAGCCCTGATCTGGATGATACAAAGAATGTATAACATACAATGTAAGAAGTAGAGCTCGACCGATAGCACTTTTTGACACCGATGACGATATATCGGCCAACTAGTGGCCGATATTTATGTAAATCATATATTAAGCCACAAAATGGGCTTTCAGGATGATTTTGATATCTTTTGATATCAATCTAGCTATTTCTAGAAAAAAGAATTGTTAATCTGACGTTTTTAAATTGTCACATATTTCTCCAATATGAATTCTCAAGTGGCGTTTCAAATGAAGCAGCTGTGTAAAATCTTTCTCACAGATTTTGCAAGCACAAGGTTTTTTTTCAATAGGACATCACATGTGATCTTTTAAATTACTTGGTCATGCAAAATCTTTCCTTAATATTCCACAAGCATGGGGTTTTTCTCCAGTATGCGTTCGCATGTGCTTTATCAAATGATTCTGCCTGGCAAAACCTTTCCCACATTTTTCACAAGCATCTGGTATGGGTCCTTATGTGGCGATTCAAATGATGTATCCTCGCAAAATATTTCCCACATATTCCACAAGCATGTGGTTTTTCTCCAGTATGCGTTCGTATGTGCCTTTTCAAATCACCTGTCTCTGCAAAATCTTTTTTTCACAAGCATGAGGTCTTTTTCCAGTATGGATTCGTATGTGACGATTCAAATTACTTGGCGATGCAAAATCTTTCCCACATAATTCACAAGCATGAGGTTTTTCTCCAGTATGCGTTCGTATGTGCCTTTTCAAATCACCTGTCTCTGCAAAATCTTTCCCACATAATTCACAAGCATGAGGTTTTTCTCCAGTATGCGTTCGTATGTGCCTTTTCAAATCACCTGTCTCTGCAAAATCTTTCCCGCATATTTCACAAGCATGAGGTCTTTTTCCAGTATGGATTTGTATGTGACGATTCAAATTACTTGGCGATGCAAAATCTTTCCCACATATTTCGCAAGCATGAGGTCTTTTTCCAGTATGGATTCGTATGTGACGATTCAAATTACTTGGCGATGCAAAATCTTTCCCACATATTTCGCAAGCATGAGGTTTTTCTCCAGTATGCGTTCGTATGTGTATTTTCAAATCACCTGTCTCTGCAAAATCTTTCCCACATATTTCACAAGCATGAGGTCTTTTTCCAGTATGGGTTCGTATGTGACGTTTCAAATAACTTGGCCATGCAAAATCTTTCCCACACATTTCACAAGCATAAGGCTTTTCTTTGGCATGGCTTCTTATATGATTTTTCAGGCTATTTGATCTTTAAAATCTTTCCCACATACTTCACAAGCATGAGGTTTTTCTCCAGTATGCGTTCGCATGTGCATTTTCAAATTACTTGTATTTCGGAAGTCTTTCCCACATATTTGACAAGCATAGGGCTTTTCGTTTGTATGGATTCTCAAGTGGTATTTCAAGTTTCTAAGTGTTGCAAAATGTTTTGCACATACTTCACAAGTATGATGCTTTTCTTTAACATCATTCACACTGCAAAACGACGTACTTCCCCCGATCTCCATATCCATGTCGCCCAATTAAAAATATTTCGTTGTTGTGTCACTAATTTTCTATTTTACACAAAATTAACAGATATTAGATATTTTCCTTCAAATATTAAACAAACTTATCAATGTAATAAAAACATAGTAAACATATATCAACAGTGCTGGGCTATAGGATGGGATTTACATATTTATCCCGGGGGAGAGGAAAGCCGATAAGACGGCTTAATCATATGACGAACCACGGCCTCTCGTCCGGTTACCAGTCAGGTATGGGATTGGTGAGCCAGTTATTTGTTTTCGGAAGCATGGACCCGATGGCGGAGGAAGCCGTAACCGACCAGCGGTTACGTAAACCACCCTACATACATTTGTTGCTCCAAGTTGTGGTAGAGGACTCATTATTCGACATCCTGACATCGCTCATCTTTCTGACTATAAGAATAAGACTCCATAATCAGCATGAAAGACGATTAAAAGTTCACGCTCTCGCGGGCCACTTTCACATAAGGAAATTCGTTGCGGGCCGCAAACGTTTGTACCAAACTTTAATACTAACCAAGTCCTGATTTCGTTAGAATTTATATAATACATAAAAGGCAAGATTATTAGCCTAAAATCAATCACGTTAATAAGTATTTACTGCAGGGTTACTCATTAGTGCTGGCGAAATATTCGAATATGGAGTCTAATATTAAAATAGCAGTTTAATATTCGAATATCTGGGGCTTCTAAACCAAGATTGGCGGACATCGGAATGTAATATGTGTACTAGGTTAGGGTTAGGCCATAATTTTAGGTATAAATATTACGGGAGGCTCTTGGCTAGTCTTCAAACTGATAATATGACTAAAATAAGGAAAATTGGAAAAAAATTATCGCCTAACCCTAACCTGTTACCCATGTTGTGTCCGATGTCCGCCATCTTGGTTCGCATACTTCGGGAGCACCGAATATCTGGTAACACAAGGCGTGACACTCGCGGGGCCGCTGAATCAAAAATCAATCATTACACAACGCACTTGTGAATTTATGACGACCACACGAGAATCTGCACAGAGTTACTAACAAACAAAGACGTAAAAATTGAGTCTTATATTTGAGTCATGCAGTTTAGTTATTTATTTATTTTCAGTAGCTATGATATTGTCTCAATGAGCGTAGTGTGCGCCAATGTCATGGGAACATCATGTTTTGGTGGGCCGTTTATACAAGTATTTAATGAAAAAAACATTACAATAACTTTTGGACGAATATACGGTATTCTAATTTGGGACCTCCTGAAGCATGCTCACCAAGATGACGCACAACCTGAACTCGCATGCGAGCGAATTCAATCTTGCACGCTGAAAATTTGCAGTTGCTCACCAATGAAAAACGGTATAATCTTTGTATCCTACAATGCCAACAAATTATAGCTTCACAATTGTTGACTACATACTAGCTTGCAAGATTTGGCCTGATCAAAAAAAAAACATTTCATAATTGCTCGGGCCGTATGGTGCATCATGTTGAATGATAGGAATCCCGTGAGTATAGGTATTGATGAAAAGATCACCAGACTCCTTGCAGACGCTTGTCAGTTAAGGCTATGATTCGGCGTATTGTTTATCCAATATTTTTATGCAAAAACACTCCCGAAGGTAATGTCAAAGTATAGAAATAATGTTCGGGGGTCAAAGGTCAAATGACCATTTTTGCTTTGATCCAACGTATTTTTTTCGAACAGTAATGGTATCTAAAGTTGCACAAACACTTTCAAGATTAATGACAATGTATAGAAATGATGTTTGGGGGCAAAGGTCAGGCGTCATTTTTCTCTGATTCAACGTAGTTTTATTCAATAATTTTACATGAATGTACTTAACAGTACCTGTATCCAAAGTCGCACAAACACTCTCAAAATTAATGACAAAGTATAGAAATAAAGTTTGGGAGTAAAAGGTTAAACGTCCATTTTTGCTCTGACTCAACGTATTTTTTATCCAATAATTTTACGCGGAGTTATTGAACAGTCTGACAGTACGCTACTAAAGTCAAAGCCAGTTGCACGCGGGCGCAAGTGGTTTTGCACGCCAGGAATTCTGATTTGCACGCGGGAATTTAGGCCCGATTTCTCGTTGAAAAAGGCCATGAAATCCAGACTGGATCGTAACTCAAACCGTCTTGGGAGTCTGGTTCGAGAAGTACGATACCGTTATGTCATGCCGGTATCTGAAACTCTCCCAAAATAATGTAGCTAATTGGTTATTTGATTTGCCTTGGATTTTTTTTTTTTTGCCAAATTTAAATCCATTGCTAATTCGGATTTATGATATTGACAGTTTTGGTTTATCTAAATATATTATTTAAATTTAGTTGCATGAATCCCAATTTTCCAGGTAATTTAGGTGATATTATAGATCATATAAGTATATAGTACATAGATAAATAATGATAAATTTTAAACAAACCAGATACATTCACCCATATTAGTCCAGAAATCCAATTTAAATTGTGTCCACATTCATGTAATGATAATCCAAGTATCCATGACATAACATCCAGTGACCATTGAAAACATTATACCATTCAACATATATTTTAAATTTATCCATTATAAGCATTTAATATCATAGACAAAAATCAGAAAAACACCTACCATGCCTTGAATTTCGGTGCCAATACCGTAACAAGGCTAAAAGCTGACAAATACCGCACCTGGCCAATCAAGGAAAACGAACTAAACCTTACGCCGTCGCCACCTAACGGTTAAACCTTTGGTATGACTTGGTTATTTTTGTCAGGAATTTTCACTAAATTTATCTAAATTTAAAATGATTAATTGTTTCCCAAACTAATACCATAAAACTAAGTGGATCGCCATGTTACAAAATTTAATGGGTACAAAGTGACGATTATAAATCAACTTTGAATGCGGATGCATGCGTACAATGCGGAATTCCCCAGGGCACAATAATTGGCCCATTAATGTTCGTATTATTCGTCAACGATCTTCCTCATGCCACCAGATTATTGGTCAAACTCTTCGCTGACGATACCGGGTTATTTGGAAGTTCAGTCTCGCCAAATGACTTGCAAATACACATGAACTCTGAAATGCAAAAATTTGCAACGTGGATGACTAGTAACAAACTAACTATAAATATTGAAAAATCCAAATCACTTCTAATTAATCCCAAAAAAAATGAAAGAAGTGTGCATTTGATTAAAATTACTATTAATGGTATATTACTTGAGAATGTGAACTCATACAAATACTTGGGTATACACATTGATGTATACCATTTGCCATGTATACCTTTGCCATGTCCATAAATTTGAGATATTGAAACTTATGCACCTGTACTTTGACGGCAAACTTCCAACCGCATTTGTAGGATATTTCACCAAGCAGACTAATGTTCATTCGTATTACACAAGATCTGCTTCACAAGCTTCCTTTCATGTACCGAGATACACGTCATGTAGAACGCAGAACTCCATCAAATACGTGGGTGTAAAGTTATGGAATAATATATCGGGTGAAATGAGATCATTATCCTATCATGGTTTTAAAAAGGAACTAAAAAAGAAATACATTGATGACTACCTTTCTTTGATTGATCACCAAAAAATCACCTACCATCTACCGATACCTATACGGTACTACCGGTACTCCGCTTCTTTGCAACTGACCTGAGTACTTAGGATAGGAGTTACATATTTATCCCGGGGGAGAGGAAAGCCGATAAGCCTCTCGTCCGGTTACCATTCTAAGTCGGGTATGGGATTAGTTTTACTGCAGTACTGTATTGTTTGTTTTCGGAAGCATGGACTTGGAGGAAGCCGTAACCGACCAGCGGTTACGTGAACCACCCAACGACGGCGAGGAGTCCAGCAATCCTCTCGCACATAACCATCCCTGCATGGGATTCGAACCTGCGAACCCAGGCAGAGTAATTAGAGGTGCGGTGGCGAGCGTATTCCTAACGCTTAGCCCGTTGAGCCACGCCGCTGATTAAGTCTATATTATTAAGCCATGTCATCGGCTTACCTGTCCGCTGGGTTAAATATTCGAATCCTGTCCCTTTACTCTGTCGCAGCCAAATTGACTATAAAGTGTTATAGTCACTTTGGTCGCAGCGTATCAATAACGTACGGTTATTCTACTCTGCCAAACAAAGCGCAGCTCTGCGAACGAATCAGATGTGCGTGGAGTCGTAATTTTTGAAAACCAAATCTTGGTTAAAGACCTTGCGTACATCATGTCAGGGGATACTGAAAGATTCAGTCTAAAGGGAATTATAGTTAATCATCATATTTTTTTTACTTCACATCGATATATAACATATTTTATGTCTTTTCGTGCAACCGTTTAATTCATACAGTGCATTTCATCTTTTATGAATTTGGTCACTGATTTAAATAATAAAAAAACATGCTCGTAACCAGGATGTTATGTTTTTTTTTTATTTTAAATACTTATGATGGATATTTGGTATTTTTTGTTTTCTGAAAATGTTCTTTTTTTCTTCAAAATATTTATTTTGAAATGTTTTGGTGTTTCATTAACTTTTTAAGCTATTAACCTGAATCAACAAGCGTTTTAGGTGTCGCTGCCTGAAAACCTCTTGAGGTCCTTCGCGACTCCTGTCACACAATTTAAGTTAGTTTCCACTTGTTGGACACGAAGTGGAAATAACGATCGTTTCAATATTATGTTGTTCTTGTTCTTTGACACGTTTTTAAAAAGTCCCTTTTCTCTTCGAATACTGGACCAATTGCTTTGAAATTTTCAGTGGTTAAAGATTGATTTTTTCGCTAGAATGCTATTACTTTTATTTATTTCAAAA